GGCTAACTTCGGGTATCAGACTGCCCCGAGGAAGCACTACACTAGAAAATACAACCGGATTATGCTTCACAGGCCGACAGATAGTTCTGAGATTGCACTGATTGACAAAGAAGTAAAAAAAAAAAAAAGGGAATTTCTTAATATCTTTCAAAGAATAGCAAATGAAATGTATAGTTTTTGCAACAGTAAACTCAGACCTAATTAAAAGATTAGGAAACAGCAATCATCTTCTACTTGTTTTGAAATGATAAGAAACCAGTCGTATGATAAATACTACTTGGAGTAAAAAATTTATCAGCTTTTAAGTGGTTATATAGAAAACAACTATGAATATTGTTCAGGGTGAGAGGCGCCCATGGGCGGGTTCCTGTCCTCACTGTTGTCGTAAGATGAGCTGAAGTTGTGTAACTTGGTCTCAGATTGCTGTTTCTGATTTCAGCACATCTTCCCATACAGCACAAACACGAAGTAGCAACTGGAAGCTAAGCCATTGGCATCATTTAGGCCCAGTCATCGGGCCTTTAGTCAAGGAGTAAGTCCACAGGTGCCATGGCAAGCAGCCTTCTCACCTGGGGCAGGCCGATAGTCACGTGGATCTTGACAGAGACCTGGGCTAATACTGACGTCTGGGAATGCCGAGTCTAAAACACCAGAGCTATCAGATTAGCAGGGAATGAAGATGTCTGTAAAAGAAAATGTGCGGAATGTGTGTTTTTCCCTTTTTTTACTCATTTTAACTACGTGCAAACAATACATAACACTAAAAAAATTTTAACATTATAAACAAGATTAAAGTACCTGTTGACCAATATCTCCAAATCTAATACCTTCTTTAGAAGTAATCACCGTTTTCAGTCTGAAGTGTATTTTTTTCATTTTTCTTTTCTGTGCAATTATATACATGTATTTCCCATTAGAAAATATGTTTTATGTTGCTGCTTTTAAATATTTAGGGTGAATACACATTGAACTGCAACTTGCTTTAGTCACTTAAGAGTAGCTTGCTAACTTTCTCATTGTCAGTAAATAAAGACATTTATTCAGTACTTACTATGTGGCAGTCATTCTTTTAAGCAGTTAGATATCTTTTTGTGCATTTAGTCCTCATAAAATGTAATTATTATTGTTTTATGTTGTTATCATGCCAGTTTTGCAGTTGAGGATTCTGAGGGACAGATCATTTCAGTAAATTGCCCAATTTAGTGGCAGAGCCACTGTTCTGGGTCCCATTCAAGGAAGACTAACGCCAGGAAGCTCCCTTGGCAACTGTTTTACGCCGCCCCTGTGCAGTACGTAAACCTACCTCTGAAGGCTGTACATGTGAACCCGAAGCCCCCTGGGCCCATCTTTTACGAACTTGCAGTGACTGTGAGTGATATGCAGATGGCATTCAAGTTGAAAAATGTCACCAAGTGTCTCGTTATGCTGAGCATTTCAGTCGACAATAGCCCAAGCCAGGCAGCATGATGGCATAAGGTCTGACTGTTTTTGAGGAGAATAATGCACATCAGAATGGGGAGCAGACCCCATTGTCTTGCTACTCCATCCCCCTACTTCGCCTGTGCCTGGGTCTGATCCGTGGGCAGCGTTCCATTGACGTCAAAAATAACGTCAACCCAGTGAAAAAACTGAATGACTCACAGCGTTACTGTAGGGAACTTATCTCTTTGACATATGATATATAGCATCCTAATTTCACAGAACATTTTTCATAACAGCTGCTAAAATCATATTCAAATCCATTAAATTATTTTAGAGGATCCAATTCAAAGCAATAATGAGACTATTCTTAAGATGCAGGCATGTTGAGGCGGAGTTCCACCCACTTAAAACTGCTCTGTTATCAGCTACCTTATATCTTTTCTGTGTTTGCCTGTTTGTCGATTCATGGGAGTCTGCTCTTCTTTTGTATTTCTAGTTGAATTTGAGTCAGAAAAAAGCTATTTCAGAGACTGGGGGGTCTGAAAGAAAGACTAGAGAAGAAAGGGGAAAGCAAAATGAAATTTTCCTCTGATTCTTATGGGCAACGGAGCAAGGTGCCCTGGAGAGAAGGTGAAGAGGAAGAACCCGGAGTCTTGGGTTTATAAAAGCAGCGTTATGCTATTGATTAAGATCTCTGTAGAGAATGAATGATGCTGACAGAACATGGCCACCTGAGCCCTCACATTTAGTAGCATGTAGCTTAGAATCTTTAAACCAGTTGATTTTTCCTGCCACATCACCACCCACAAAACTGACAGGTAACTTTTTTACATAGGAATTTTATTTCTTGGTTAAATATAAAGCCAAATGAAATCCCTCAATTTTTTTTCTTCTGGTATTGTTGTATGCTTCTGGGAATTTGCAAAGTTAGTCCTTGACGTGTACTTCTATTTGGAACCTGACGTAAGACCACAAAGAGGATTTGAAGCAGGCACATTACTTGCGAAGTTCACTTTCAGACTTGAGAGTGACCTTTTCTGGAAGGCTGGGCTTCTGACACTGAACTCTGTCCAGTCCCTTCCACAGACTGCGCTACACTTAGTGCAGAAGTGAGTGACCTTTAAGCCTTAGTTTTCTTGTCCGAGAAAGAAGGGTAGGCTACAATCTTCATGGTTCTTTCAAATGATAATATTCTGATTCTTATCTGCCGTGATAGAAAAAGGTAGCTTCTAGGGGTCAAACAGATTCCTCTTCCAGGGCTCAGCAGCCTGAGTCCTGTGCACCCTCCTCCCCTTTCACACATTTTCTGTAGCACTCCAGAGGGGGTGCTGTTCGGGGTGTCTCCTGGACAGCATTCCCTCCAACTTCCTGCTGGCGTAAGAGCTGTTGAAGTGAATGTTCTTAGCTACATTCCGTTTTTCCAGGTTTTTTTTACTTTAAAACTTTTTTTTCTCTCATTTGGAATATACATTACTGATTTGTAATCCATGAATCACTACTCTAAAGTTGCCCCGAGATCTTTGTTTTCAGACACTCAGAAACTGTTCATTGGGTGCAATGTGTTGTTGGCCACTTGGATAAGAAATTTAAGGCGCAGCTTTTCAGACTCCAGCTAACTTCATCTTCAAAAGATACAGCTCCATGTGCGCCATCCAGTGGGTTGGGCCTCAGTGCTAACTGATACTAAAGCAGAGGCCATTGGAGGGTTGACTGACACCAGTTCCTGGCAAATTACTGAATAGTAATGGAGCCAGAAGTCCCAGAATGATCTATATTCTAAACCCTGCTATGAAGTAGTTCCCTGTTCCCTTACTCTCTTTGTTCAGTACCTACTGATGGAGTTGAGTGCAGTGTTGGTCCACCAGGGCCAGGATTCTGTTGCCAAAGGAGCCGTAGTTACAGAGGTAGAATGAGCTTCCTCCTTAGGCCATTTTCACCAAGTAACCAAAGCTATTATTAAACCAGCCAAAAAGGAAGTCATCTGACAAATCATTTTTTTTTTCTCTAGTTTTCAACATCTTCTTTCTTTTATGCTCTCTTAACACATATGTGGAAGGTTAATGATATTTCATCCGTAGCCTGTTGGAGAAGTGAATTTCCTAGAATAGTCACACCATATGTGATTTTACAGCTGAAAACACTGAACTCTACTGGCATTAAAATCTCATTCTAGTAACTTGTTCAACACTAAATTGGAGTGCCAAGAGTCAAAAAACTAGAATGATCATGGCAGCTTATCAACTGGCTAGTTGGTGATGGCCAGGTACTCAAGTTCTCTGAGCTCAGGAGAGGAAAAATCATGCTTGGCTTCTTTGTCTCCTGAAGTTGTGAGGACACGTGAGATACTGTATGTGACAGTACTTTGTATCATAGAACATGAAATCCAAATATGAAACAGATGAGCTGTAAAATGCGCATGTACACCAGTACATCTAGTTATATTATTGTTTTCACTCTCTTTGATATTTCCGTGTTTTATATGTAAATGAGCTTGTAAGGCTGATTCTCTCCCAATTACCAGAATTAATGAACTCTTAATGGATAGCTGCAAATTTAAATTTTATTGGAAGGAAGAAATTAAAGTGATCAAGGAGATTATTTTTTCTTCATTGACATGTGAAAAATAAAGAAACTACTAATTAGAAAATATTTAGCTGTTCTTTATATATACCTGAATGTTCTGACTTTTCTAAATATTTACTTTTCTTTCAAATATGGGAAATGAAAAGTCAAAATCCTCTTTAAATATTGTCATTCCGCAGATGCACCTCCTAGGGGAAAATATGTTTATTTGTTAGAATCATATGCCGAGTGCTAATTTCTATACCCAAGAGAGGTACAACCTGAGATGCTTACTTGCTTTGATTTTGTTATATATATTTAGAGCACACCTTTATAATAATACTGTGATAAGGAATTTCCTGAGGTAGTGCTACTGTAACAAATTGTTTTATTCTATTAATAGCAGTGCTTAGTACTTTTTGCAACTCAGTTATTTGCTTTTTTAAAATAATTCAAATCCAGAAGTACTTAATTATTAACTTCTTGAACATTATGATCTCATTTAATGACCGCCACTCTGAAAAGGTAAAAGGAAAAAGATAAAAGCCTATTAGTAAATTTTACTAAAGAAAATTTATACCAGTGGCCATCTTTTATTCCCTGTGCTTGACCTAGCACCTGACTTTTGTCCTTGGTTTCTCAGAGGACCCAATTTTGATAGACCTTCCTCTTGCATATTTGTTCATCAAACACTCCAGCATGCATACACATGAATAAATACAAATCAGCACTTTTTACAAGGATGTTGTAGGAAGGTTTTATGCTCTTTGGATATTAGAATTCTATAGTTGCCTCATCTTTAGTGTTGGTTTTTCTCTCCTAAGGAAGGCTTTGTACATTTCTCCTAGATCTCCCTGATTTGTTGTTGTTGTTACCTGTGTGGTGTTAATTAGGCCATCGTAGTTTCTTGCCTGGTGTTACTGAAAACCCTAAGATTTTATCATTGCCTGTGGCCTCTTGATCCATCCTCTCCAAGGGTTCCTCTCCCTGATTACGTTGCAATGTTCCTTTCTTAGACTTGAACGAAGCGGTCCCAGAGACGGAGCGCCTGGATTCTAAAGCCCTGAAAACTCGAGCCCAGCTGTCCGTGAAGAACAGACGCCAGAGGCCCTCAAGGACCAGGCTCTACGACAGTGTCAGTTCGACAGACGGCGAGGACAGTCTAGAGCGAAAGGTGAGCTCCTCTGACCGTTTTCTGAGTTACAGTGTTGGGCTGTATCCTTGTTCCTGCAGTTCATTGACTTTTCTGCAGCCAGATTCTGTGCCCTAGTTGGAAATAGCTGGAATAGTTCACTTTTTTGTCTCCAAAATCTTTACTCAACTCGATACATTGTTGTCATGTAAATTCTTCTGTACTTATTCAGTAAACTAACCAAGAGCATTATCCATGTTGCCATATTTCATGATGGTGATTCTGATATTCAGCAGTTGGTTTTACCTAGTTGGAAATAATAAATGTACACGTAATTGCTTGAATCTGTCTGAGGTGTCTGTGTTAGTTGCAATGGTAATATGGTGAATCATTGTGAACTATGGAGTCTCATTTGTAAACCAACAAGCAAAATTGGTTTTCATGGGATTTACTGAAAAAAACAAAACAAAAACAAACGGTCAATCTGATTTCAAAGTAAGTATGACACGGAACTGATGCTCAGCGGCATAACCTCCTTTATAATCTCTTATATCAACAGCCTTCAGACAGTCTCTGTAAACACATGCACATTACCAAATCACTTCTGCCCAAGGGTTTGAGAACTTCTTCTCCAGAACCAGATTCTGGTGCTCCATCCCTCTCTTCAGTGGCTGGCAGTGTGCCCTTCTCGGAGGCTGACCACATAGCTGAATTTGAAGGACCACTGCTCCCAGAAAGGGAGGCTTCCTCCTCTGTTTGGGGAGATACGTCGCTCTCCTCTCCTTCAAAATCCGATCATGATATGGAAGAATCTCCTTGCCACCACCAAGCCACCACCAAGAAAATACCACAAGAAAAAGGTACTGTTCACTTTGTTGTTTCTGTTTTGTTTTGTCTAACTTCACTAACACCTTGATTTCTGCAATATAAAAATGGCTTTTTTTTTCTCATAATCCTAAGTCCTTTGCCTTCTCACAGCTAATAATATTGCTGTTTTTTAATGTTATGGCATAAGAAAACATTCCCCCTTCCATTTATTTATTTATTTATGTATTTATTTAATCTTTTTCTACCTGGTTAGTATTTTTACTTCTTTGGCTCTCCACAAGTTGACTAGTGAAGGAAATTCTTCAGGAGGCCTTTTGGAGATTTTGTGGAATAACAGTTGAGTTTCTGTAAACACTAACATAGTCATATAGAACAAAATATATGTGAAGAGGAAACTGATATAGGTATTAACCTATTAATTTGTTTTTTATTTAGAAGAAATTTTCACAATGATGATTTATATTGTAAAAGAATGTGATGGAAAGCTATGATAATGGTAATACGAGGAGATTAGTCAATTAAATTTTGGCAGAAAGTTCTAAAATTAACACCAGAGTTTCAAAGCACTGTCAGTAGACTTTTGTCTTTTTAATAATATGTTTTAATATAGAGAAGTAACACATTCTTGTTTGAACAAGTTAAATGATGCAGGGATGAATAGAAAATAGGTTCAGCCTGGCCGGTGTGGCTCAGTGGATTGAGCGCCATCCCATGTACCAAAAGGTCACCAATTCTATTCCCAGTCAGGGCACCTGTCTGGGTTGTAGGCTCGATCCCCAGTAGTGGGTGTGCAGGAGGCAGCTGATCAACGGTTCTCTCTCATTGATATTTCTACCTCTCTCTCTCCCTCTTCCTTCCTCTCTGAACATCAATATAAACATATTTAAAAAAAAAAATAGGTTCATTCTCTCCCTACTACATCTGACATGTTCCTTTAAAGGGACCACATAGATTGGGTTGTATAGTGACCCTTGAATACTGTGGGACTAGGAGCACTGACCCTCACACAGGTGACAATCTATGTACAACATTTGACTTAAAACTTAACTATAGTTGTCCCTTGGTATCCTTGGGGGATTGGTTCCAGGATTCTCCATAGATACCACAATTCTTGAATGCTCAAATTCCTTGCATAGAATGGTGTAGAACAAGGCACACAGTTGGCCCTCCATATCTGTAATTCCCAACTGCAGGTTAATCCATGGTTGGTTGAATCTTGGATGCAAAACCCAGAGATGCAGAGGGCTGGCTGTATATTTATTGAAAAAAAAATTTGTTTATAGGTGCACCCATGCAGTTCAAAACCATGTTGTTCAAGGGTCAACTTGTTATCTTTCACATCTGAATTATATATACATACCAAGATATAAAATAACTATGTAAAAATCAATACCTTGATGTGTGTAAGGGTGAAGTATCTGCAACTTATTTTGAAATGCACTTAAAAGTTAATGGATTGGCAGATGAGTAGAGGGATGGCTATATGATAAAGAAAATACAGCAAAATGGACATTATAGAAGCTAGGTGGTAGATATATGTTTGTTCACTATAAAATCCTGTTGTCATTTTTTTTTTAAAATCGAATTTCTATTCATACTGATCTAGAGAGATTCAATACAATAGACATTTTGTGGAACTTGGCAAGCTGATTCTAAATTTACAATATGTAAATTCTAAAAATACATAAATTCTAAAAATATAAATTCTAAAAGGCCAAGAATACCTGAAACTGTTGAAGAAGACTGAGGTGCAGGGTGTTGGCTTACTTGATACTATAACTATTTAATTATCTGTGTTATTTATACAGAGATGTACAAATAAACTAAGGAACAAAATTAAGGGCTTAGAAGCAGATTTTAAACACACACACACACTTTATGATGGCTGCATGTGTAAATGGATGGAGAAAGAAAGTTTTTAATAATTTTTTCTGGGAAAATTGGTAATCCATATTTTTGAAAATTATAAGGGACCTCCTCCCATCACATACCCTGCAAAATTTTCATTCAAGGAGGCTTCAACACTTAACTGGATGATATAAAATGATGAAACTTTAAAAAGTATATATAGGAGAGCCCTAGCTGGTTTTGCTCAGTGGATAGAGCATCAACCCACAGACCAATGAGTCATGGGTTCAATTCCAGTCAAGGGCACAGACTCAGTTGCATTTCATCCCCGGCCCTGGTTGGGGTCTTGCGGGCCGCATGTAGTCAGTGTGTCTCTTTCACATCGATGTTTCTCTCTCCTTCTCTTCCTCCCTCCCACTCTATCTGAAGATTAATAGAAAAGCATTCTCGGGTGAGGATTAAAATAAATAAGTATATAGGAAAACAACATTTTGTGACCTCAGGGTAGGGAAAGATTTCTTAAACAAGAGGCAAAAACATAAAACAAGGAAAAGATCAAGTCAGATGATATTAAAATTAGAAACTTCTATTTCTCAAAAGACACAATAAAGAATCCCAAAACTTGGAGAAAAGATTTACTGCCCATGTAACTAACTAAAGATGAGTGTACAAATTATGTAAATAACTCCTATAAAGCGCACACACACATACACAGACACGCGCGAAAGACAAGGAGGAAAATGTATAATGTCCTGAACAGGCACTTCATAGCAAACGAAAGTCAGATGCCCATAATATTTATGAAAAGCTGCTCAACCCCATTAGTAATCAGGAAAACATTAAATAAACCAAATGAGATGCCATTTTATATCTACCAGATTGCCAAAAAAAATTAAAGTCTGATATTACCGAATCTGACAGAGATGTGAGAAAACCATAAATCAGATATTTGCCGGTGGAAGTCCAAATTGGTACATGCTCTTTGGAAATGATTTGGCATTACCTAGTAAATCTGAAAATGTGCCTACCGAGCAAGTCTTCACCTGTTTATAAAGCCAAAAGAAACCCTGTACTCGTCTACTAAGAATCATGTCCAAGAATATCCACAGCAGCCCAGTTGTGTAAATAGTAAAAACTGGTAATCATTAGAATAATCACCAGTAGAATGGATAAATGAATTGCAGTGTATTCCTACAATGAATCTGTGCAGGAGGGAAAATGAATAAACCACACTGAAACAAACACAGGGGCGAATCTCTGGAGCAGACTTTCAAAAGCAAATGACAGGCAAATGCAGACCAATGTATATTAATCTGTTTGATATAGAATTAAACAAAACTAGCAGATTATTTCAAGATACAACCAAATGTTTTAGTTGTGAATAGGAATGACGAGGCTAAACACATGGGGAAGAGTGTCAGGGAGCAGAAAGAAGGAGGGACATACTGGGCATTTCATAAATATAAACTGCAGTGGGTGTGTGACGACAAATGAAATGGGGATTTGCTTTACTGTTTTTTTTCTTTATATTCTGCAACTATCTTACAAATACTCTCGATTTCACTAGACAAGAAACATAAAAAGGACCACATATACAGAGTTAATTGATAGATTTTAATATACAAGTAGCTTCAAATAATTTTTAAAAGTCAAAAATAGCCCTGGCTGGTGTTGCTCAGTGGTTAGAGCGTCAGCCCATGGACCAAAGGGTTGCAGGTTCAATTCTCAACAAAGGGTATGTCCCTGGGTTGCAGGTTCAATCTGCAGCCCCAGTCAGGGTGCATGCAGGAGGCAACCAGTCAATGTGTGTCTCTCTCTCCCTCTCTTCTTCTCTCTCCTCCTCCCTCCCTCCATTCCACTCTCTCTAAAAATCAAGGGCAAAAATATCCTCAGGTGAGAATTAACCACCCCCCCCAAAAAAAAAAGTAAAAAATAGGCCAAGGAAATAAACTGTCAATTCATTGAAGAGAAAATCTGCATTACATATGAAATATAAAAAAGATGATCAACATCCCTAATGATGGAGTAATGATCATTTAAATTATATACCCATCAAACTGCCAAAATCTTTGAAGAATCCCACCAACCAATGCCAATAGTTGACACATTCCCACATTGCAGGTATGATTGCAAATCACTGTATTTATTTATTTTTTAATCCCCACCCGAGAATATATTTCTATTTATCTTCAGATAGAGTGGGAGGGAGAAAGAGAGAAACATCAATGTGAGTGAGACACATTGACTAGTTGCTTCCCACATGACCTGGACCAGGTCACACACCTTGGTCAAGGGCACACACCTTGGTTGTGGTTTGGTCCCCAGCCATAGCCGGGGTCGTGTGGGAGGCAGCCAGTTGATATGTCTCTTTCACATCGATGTTACTCTCTCCCTCTCTCTCTTTTCTTCCTCTTTCTTTCTCTCTTTCTTTCTCTCTTTCTTTCTGTCTTTCTCTTTCTTTCTGTCTTTCTCTTTCTCTTTCTCTTTCTCTTTCTCTTTCTCTTTCTCTTTCTCTTTCTCTTTCTCTTTCTCTTTCTCTTTCTCCTCTTCCCTTCCTCCCACTCTATCTGAAGATAAATGGAAAAAATATCCTTGGATGAGGATTAAAAAAAAGAAAATTAACCCAACTTGTGGATTACAATAGCACTTTTTTCTAGAAATACGCTTGTGTCAAGCCTTCTATAATCTTTAAAAAAATATATGTGTAGGCTGTAATCATTCCATAAGAAGGCAAAAGAGTAGAGGCACACATTTGGAGCTGTAGGTTAGTACTTTGTGGTCCACTGAGGTTATGAGGCATAAGTAGCTCTTTGAAAGAAATTACATATGGTCAGGAAGTAGATTGCTCACACATGAAATCTGACCCAAAGATTTTTTTAAATTTATTTTTTATCCTCACCTGAGGACATTTCCGCATGTATCTTCAGATAGAGCTGGAGGGAGAGATGGAGGAAGAGAGAGAGAGAAACATCGAGTGGCTGCCACCCACATGACCCCAACCAGGACAGGGACAAACTGCAACTGAGGTACGTGCTCTTAGCGGGAACTGAACCCGGGACTCTTCGGTCCATGGGTTGACGCTCAACCGGCCAGGGCTGACCCAAAGACTTTTAAAAGTAGCTCAGTCTTGTCTAGATTATTTCTTTCTGCCTTTTCCTTCTACAGCATTTGTGAATCTTTGAAG